AAAGCTCTGAAGATCACCCTTCTGGCAGGGTACTATACCACATCAGTGGAGGGCAGCTCAACGCTTTTCAGTTTAGAAGTATGGTATTTGGTGATCTTTGTTTAAAAAGAAAAACCCAGCAGAGGGTAGCGTGCATTTCCTTCTTCTTTCCCGTGTTTGTCACGGGGCTGTACAAATACCTGGAGGCAGGTGGTGTGTGGCAGGAGGGAGTGAGCCAGGATACAGGGGCTGCGTGTCTTGGTGGCAGTCAGGCTTCAGCCTAAGGAATGGTAGTAGTTCATTGTGTTTGAAACAGTCTTGTTTCTGTTTGCCACTCTGCCTGCCTTTATATTTTTTTCCTGCATGCAGTTCTGATTACTTTAGTGATTGATTGAGGCCATTATTTAGAATATGTTAATAGTTTGTCAGCTGTTCTTCCTGCCCTGATAGGAGCAGGGAGACTTGTTTTGCTTGGTCCCGGTTGTCCCACTGAAGTGCTAGCACAGTTTTAAGGGAAAACACTCATACAATTAATTCTAAAGTGTTGGGATAATTTGGGGAACTTTACATTTAGAGAGCTGGGTGAAGAGTTGAAATGTGCTAATCTAACATCGCAGAGAAGACATTTAGTGGTTTGATGTGACCTATAGTTGTTGGGGAAGAACATGCAAGTGCCTTGTAGTGGAATTGCCCAAACCTTACCACACAGTGTAACACCTTTACTTTACCTTACCACACCTTTGACTCTTCTCTTTGTGGCATCTTTGAGCTTTTAAAAGAAATGGGGATGTTGTGCAAGAACGCAACATATGGTCTTTATGATTGCATTCTGCTGCTGCAGACAGGGAAACTTACTGAGAAAACTACCACTTTTGTTTTCATAAGTACTAGTTGCATTCATTAGGCTATTAAAAAATAAATGATGTCTGAAAGTGCCCATATGTTAGGGGAAACGGTTATAGAATATATCAGGTACTGTGTAAAATGTACTCACTATTAATTTTTCCCTGTAATCTAGGTTGGATAAATATATAAGTAATTGATAAAGTAACAATATTTGTCTAATACGTAGGAATTACCCCTATGATTGCTGTAGCAATGAATCAATAGAGGCAAAACTATGATTTAAGATGTTAGTAAACTTTATCCAAAATCACAAGGATATAAGCTTTATAAGCGGTACTGGATGTGTGCTGTATATTCTGGAAAGTCAGTAAATACTGGCAGTGCACAAACCATACCCTTTTTGTTTGAACAGTACCCAGTTATCTCTTATTATGGTGAAATAGTTAAAACCCTGCTTTTGTCTTTGAGTAAAAGTTTAGTGGAAAGAATTATTCCAAAATTTAGTGACTGAGGTGCGGGATATTACTGCTCCTGACTTGCCTCAACAGCTGTATTGGAGAGCTACCAAGTTTTCTATGATATTTCCTTCTTTATTAAGATTCAGTAGGATTTTCCATTGTGTGCCTTATATTCTCAGTAGGTTATATCTAAAACTTCCACAGTATCTGTTTAGAAATGTTGGTTGGTGATTATTGTCAGTGTTCCTCCACAAGTATGAAAAGTATATGTCATTTCTAGTTAGCTCAGCTTTTGTGATGGTTTCTTATTTTGTAACTGGACGCTAAATAAGTTGTATATTTAGGACAACTAAAGGAGCTGGGGGAGGAGGAAGACTTCTGTATGTGCTGGAATACTGATGAATTTTTCTCTCCTTTTCAGGTTGTCACGGAGTAAAATGGATGGTAGCTTTGATTGTGATTGTGGTGAGCTGGAGCCACCTGATCATTAACAGAAGGCATCTTTTGTAAATCAAGAGCTGCCAGTTTCCTGTTTAACTAGACTGTAAACAAAGGAGAGAAAAAGGAGGAAGAAGGAAAAAAAAATAGTGCTTACCAGCACCATAGAATGACGCTGCTCAGGACCAGTCCAACACTGAATGTATCTGCACTGTGAGGAGGAGGATGTTAATAGAAGCCTATTATGTGCATATTTATTCACATTTTTGTTAAATGTTAACCAGTTTAGCACAGTAGAGCTGAGTGCATAGTATGTCATTTCATTCCGTTTGAGTTTCTTGTGAGTATTTTCTTTAACGTCTGCAGAAATGCTGCACCTTTCTTGAACTATGAATGCTGCAATCTTTCTATCTTATGCTTGGTTTGAGTTCTAGAGCTTACAGGCTCTAAATTCAAGGGGACACAACAGGCCTGGCTGGCTCATAATGAAACAAGAGTGTCAAGAAACCACCTTGCAGTCAAAGCCAAGTGTTTCTTCTCCCTTTCTGTAAGACCTTTCCTTCAGATACCAGTGGAAGTGTCTCCGCGTGTTTACAGAAGCTTAGTAGTTTGAGGAAAAAGAAGCGTAAAGAATTTTAAAATGGCAGAAAAATTTGAAAGTCTCATGAACATTCATGGTTTTGATCTGGGCTCTCGATATATGGACTTAAAACCACTGGGCTGTGGTGGAAATGGCTTAGTTTTTTCTGCTGTCGATAATGACTGTGACAAAAGAGTGGCTGTCAAGAAAATTGTCCTTACAGATCCCCAGAGTGTTAAGCATGCTCTACGTGAGATCAAAATTATTAGAAGACTTGACCACGATAACATTGTCAAAGTATTTGAAATTCTTGGTCCTAGTGGAAGCCAGTTAACAGATGACGTGGGCTCCCTTACAGAATTGAACTGTGTTTACATTGTCCAGGAATACATGGAGACAGATCTGGCTAATCTGCTAGAGCAAGGCCCTTTACTGGAAGATCATGCCAGACTTTTCATGTACCAGCTGCTACGTGGGCTCAAGTATATTCACTCTGCAAATGTTCTGCATAGAGATCTCAAACCAGCTAATCTTTTCATTAATACTGAAGACTTGGTGCTGAAGATTGGTGACTTCGGTCTTGCACGAATCATGGATCCTCATTATTCCCACAAGGTATGTGGAGTGGGAATATTAGGTGATACACTGACAACTGTGCCTTCTTAAAATAGCATCTTTCTCCCTTTCACAGAGGTAGTCTGTGGAAGGCCTCGTTAGCAGGTGGAATATCATGGTAGGGATCATACAGTAGAACTGAAATGCTTGAAAATAGAGTAAAACAGATCTCTGGGTGACAGGTTTTGTCTCAGATAGGACATAAAATAAAACTCTTCTTTTTTTTATTACTAGATTTGTTCAGAAGAGCAGATTTTTAACAGGGAATACAGAACCCAAGTTAAGAGCAACATTTAGAGGCATAACTATAGAAGCCTTAGATAAGTTTATAAGTGGTGCATTCATAGTGTGCAAGTGTGGCTACTTCCTGGGATTGATTAGAGATGCTGTCTTCCTGGTTTAGATGATGTTTCACAAGAGACTTCATTATTATCTCTGCATTTTTTTGGTATCAGGGAATAAGAAAGTTTTGCTGCAGTACCTCATTTGACTAATAAATAGTGTCATGCTTCTATACTGTTGCTGTTGGCTCATAAAGCTATCGCTGTTGCATTTTAAAAGGTAGAAAGGCTTAGTAGGGGGCACATTGTACTATCCCTAGGACCTCAAGACCAAAAACTCTGGTAGCAGTGCATTAAAAAATAAGAAACACCTAATTAAAAAAATGTACCTCTTAAAAATCTAAGTAAGCTTTTTTCTTTTCTTTTTAAATTAATTTTATTAGGGCCATCTTTCTGAAGGATTGGTTACTAAATGGTACAGATCGCCCCGTCTTTTGCTTTCTCCTAACAACTACACTAAAGCCATTGACATGTGGGCTGCAGGTTGCATCTTTGCTGAAATGCTGACTGGGAAAACCCTCTTTGCAGGTGGGTGGAATAAAAATGTGTGTGTATATTCTTAAAAGAAGTGGTAGTGCTTAATTATCTTCCTAAAGAAAGGTTGTTTCTCATGGCTATTATTAATAGTCATTGACTGTCAGGATATGCTATATTATTATGCAATTACATAAACAGACTATAAATTGATATATCTGTAAAGATATAAATTGATATATTTGTAAAGCAGAAGATGTTTCAATTTTTGTTACTCATACCAGTGTGTATTTAGATAAATACCACGATTTAATTTAGTACTCACATAATGCTAAATCTGTCTGTAAATTCCCAATTTGTTTGTCATCTACAGACTGTTTTGACCTGACCTTTGTTTCAGTGCTATAGGGAGGACTGTTAAGCTTTAAAATTTAGTGTGGCATACCAAGAAAATGTGTACCCTCCAAATGTTTCTGGTCAGATGGGAAGCAATGCTCTGGTCTCATTGGGTACATCTACATTACTACTTTGGTTAGGATCAGGAGCAAGTTTTTGAAGCAAATCTTTTGATGGCCATCCTGTACCATAGTGCTGATGTAGCTTGGTGCACAAACTAGAGTCTTTTTAGATAAAATGAAACTGCTGTTTGCTCTGTAGATCACCCAGTGTGTTCCACCTGCTGATAGGCGTTCAGGCCATGGGACAGATGAGCTAGTCTAGAGAAAGCCCCTGAAATGCTTATTTTGTGTGCACCCTAGGGCCTCAGCAGCAGCCGTCTCATTCAAGCTTGCTCTTGGATTTACTCCTATTGGTCTCCATTACTGGGGTAATATAGATAAAACCTCTAAGAACCAAGCTTGCATTTCAAAGTTCACATTCCTTTAGATACATGTGGACTAAAAGCACACCTCCGCAGTAATTCTTAGCGTTGTACTTCAAGGTAATGAAATTGAGATCTTTTTCCCATTAAGTGCTATTAATGGCATACTGCCACCTTGGAATCATTATTCTATAGAAATCGGCGATTAATATGTGAAGAGGCTTTTCTTAACTTGCAGCGAGTTGCTAGCTCTTTGAGTTACTAAGTGTTGGAGTAATGTCCCCAGTGTATTAAACACTTTAAGAGATTTATTAGGTTTCTGTTGCATCAAGCCCTTCTACTGGAAAATAGTGAAATAGTGGGAAAAAGTCTGTGGATTTCAGCATTCAGCATAGATTGATTGCAACTGCTAGCATTTTGGCTTTTTTTTTTTTTGAGCAGCATTAGTATCTGCCAAAAGTTGTATTGGTGTAATATCTGTGTGGTGAGTTAGATTTTTTTTTTTTTTAAACTTGGTTTTAGTAACCAAAATGCTAAGTTTATAGGCTTGTTTATGTGCCTAACTGCATCATGTAGATACCTAGAAAAATATTTTTAGATCTAGATGTGTCCCTCTGATAATTTAGTGCTGCTTTAGTTTTCTGATCTAAAGACAGGACTTCTTAATGTCATGCATTTGGAAACAGAAAATGGTTGGAGATAGGACAGTTATCCTGTCCTGAGACTCTGAATAAAATTCTTTTGCAAAGTTGTTTGGAGGGCTCGATTTTGTTAATTTGCAATTTCCTGTCTGCTTCTGAACCATCCCTTAGGAATCCTGCTGTCTGGAGAGCTGACTGGAGTGGGAAGGAAGAATATAGATCAAAATTGCAGAATACCTGGATGAGGGAGGGAAGTTGAGGCAGAAGAATCTAATAGCTGTTCTAAACAACTTCTTCTAAACAGATATTTTAAAATGCTCACTTCCTTTATAGTGGAAAGAAGTCTGATTCATTTTAGGATGGGTAGGACATGAAATAATAATACAGTAGATGCTGTTTTCCAGCAAAATCCAAAAAGTATAGCATCTGATAGATTTATATAAAGTAATTTGTAATGGTCTGAAGTAGGAGGACAAAACAGCTTTTTCAGTCCAGCAAGTAAGGTAACACGAGGCAGGACTGATTCAGTTGAGGAATGTTGGTCTCGGTCAAATTTTCTGTGGAGACTTTGCCTCAGCTTTTCTTTAAGTTGTTTGACAGATGTGTTGTAGCATGCCCAGTGCAGACTGTCCTGTAAACTCCTGAAGCAAACTGATAGCACACAGACTTTGAGATGGTACGATCTCTTTCTGGACCCACTTATTTTTGTATTTAGTGTCACATGCACCAGTGTCACTGATGACTGCCCAAAGCTGCTTGGTGGAACACTGGCATGCAAATAATCCTATGTAGTTACATCTGCTAACTGAATCTCTAGGGTGCTACATGCTTCTCGGAGATGAACAATAAATTGAGGTAGACAAGCTGTAGTTCTGGGTACTCCAACTTTAACACTGGTCCTGAATGTAGATGCTGTTCATTATTCAAAATTCACCTGCTGTATAGGCCCTTATAGTTCTTTACCCAGGGAAGCTTCAGGTAGTGCTGAAAGTGTGTTATAATTTCAGTCATAAGACAGTACTTTTCTTTTTTTCCCTTCCTCCTGCCAAACAAGATTACACTGCTTAACTGTCAGGTGACTTTTGTCTTGCACCTGATGGTAACACAGGGTTTCAGAGTAGAATATAAATACAAATGGTTGTGGTCTGTAAGATCTCTTGCTGAGCTAAACCACTACTGTTTTTATTAATAAGGGACGTATAATTCAAAGTGAGGTCAAATACAGAGTTCCTTAGGTGGGTCAGTTGAAAGGGGAGGATTGCAGTATATAGTATATAACAAAAAGATAGTGTTGCTGTAGAGTGTCTCATCCATGGTGAAAATATCCTTGCAAAAGCTTAAGGTTAGGTTGCTTTATCTGTGTGTAGCAGCTCTGTAATTCTTCCTAAGCTATAGCATTTTTGAGAGCTCTTCAGATTTATTATCATTCAAATTTAGAACTTCAGCCATTCCTCTGTTGTAGGAGATAATAGTCTTCTACTGAAAATAGCTGCTCAGAGCACAAAATTTTGACACTCCTTTCACATACAGGGATCAGAAGTATTGGAAGTTGAAATGGCAGCTTGTATTTTCTCTTGGTGCTTAGGTGCGCATGAACTTGAACAGATGCAGTTGATTCTAGAATCAATTCCTGTTGTACACGAGGAGGACCGTCAGGAGCTTCTCAATGTAATTCCAGTTTACATTAGAAACGATATGACTGAGCCACACAAACCTTTAACTCAGTTGCTTCCAGGCATCAGTCCTGAAGGTAAGTAATTCAGAAAAAATGTACTTCCTGTATTTCAGAATCATAAAATAGTGAACAACTTCACAGTGTATGAGTGTAATTGATAAAAGCAAGTTTCAGTTAGAAGAATCTGTGTGTTCCCTGAAGAAGGATTGTCTTTTGCTCTAATAAAAAAAAAAAAAAAAAAATTGCTGACATGATAGCTACTTGGTCATTTTTGGAGTAGAATTGTGAATCTCTGCTGGACCTGTTTGCACTGGAAGCCTGATTGAATTGCTCTATTTTGAGACACTGGCCTTTAAATATAAGGGAACATTGGGATGGAGTCAGTATAAAACAACTGTCTTGCAGATCTTTTTAAAATAAAGTCCCCAAACCAAACTGACAGCAGTGTTTCCTGATAGCTGTTGGTGGATACTGGTCCAGCTTGAAGCATTCTGTCTCTTAGTACTTTTTCCTGCTTTAAGTTAAATTATTGTTGATCTTAGATTTGACCTCTACTCTTCTAGCTTTCCTATGACTACAGAATGCATATTTGGCAGTATAGTGTCAGTAGCTGATACTTAACGGGTGGCTAATTTTAAGCAAATGCACACCTCCAGAGCAAAGCCCTGCACCGTAATCATAAATTCTAGATGTCTGAGACATCGTTTTTCTCCTATTTAATGATAACTTTTTATCTGCAGCGCTGGACTTCCTGGAGCAAATTTTGACGTTTAGTCCCATGGATCGATTGACAGCAGAAGAAGCTTTGTCCCATCCTTATATGAGCATTTATTCCTTTCCAACCGATGAGCCTATTTCAAGTCATCCTTTTCACATTGAAGATGAGGTTGATGATATTCTGCTGATGGATGAAAGTCACAGCCATATTTATAATTGGGAAAGGTAAATTCATCACTTCTTGTGGCATGTAACATAACTGAATGGTTGTGTGCTTGAAGTAACACTGCTTCATGGGCATAATTTCCTTTTCTGTTTGTTTCTTCTTAAGTTGACCTGAGAATAAACTTTTTCCTTTATAGGCAGTGCATTGCAATTGGGTTTATAATTCATGAGACTAACTTGAATATGCTGATGCATTCCTGAGATGTACTCGGGACTCTAGAATCTAAAGTTAATCTCTCCATTACTTTTTTTCCCCAAAATATTTCTCTAAAAATGAACTTTAAATGAAGACGGTTTTAAGTATGATTGTCTTGTCTAATGCTTAGTTCATATAATAAAGAGATTTACAGTAGTCATTTCAAGTCAGTTAAACACACTTTAAGGAGGAAGAGTTCCATAAATGGAGTGAGCCATTGTACATAATTCTGGACTTAAATTTTTCACATGTGCATATGAGATTACTTTATGCCAGATTACATTAAAAACCTGGAAGGGGTACCCAATTGGATTGAGGAAAAGCTTTATCTGTGTTGAATTGTCACTATTATGTAAGGGAATTTCTAAACTTAACTGTCTCTGTCTTGGGAGCTGGAAGGCTGTTTTTTTCACTGCTAACGCTTAGGAAATTGTTTTACAGATACCATGAAAGTCAGTTTTCAGACCATGACTGGCCTATTCATAATAACTATGAAGCTGATGAAGTTCAGCGTGATCCAAGGGCTCTTTCTGATGTTACTGATGAGGAAGAAGTGCAAGTAGATCCTCGCAAATATTTGGATGGAGATCGTGAAAAGTATCTGGAGGATCCTGCCTTTGACACCCACTTCTCTACTGAGCCTTGCTGGCAGTATTCAGATCACCATGAAAACAAGTATTGTGATCTGGAATGTAGTCACACTTGTAATTACAAAATGAGGTCATCTTCATACCTAGATAATTTAGTTTGGCGAGACAGTGAAGTTAACCATTACTATGAGCCCAAGCTTATTATAGATCTTTCGAACTGGAAGGAACAGAGCAAAGAGAAGTCTGATAAGAAAGGCAAGTCTAAATGTGAAAAGAATGGGTTGGTGAAAGCTCAGATAGCACTTGAGGAAGCATCACAGCAACTTGTTGAAAAAGAAAGGGAGAAGAATCAAGGATTTGACTTTGATTCATTTATAGCAGAAACCATTCAGCTTAGTTTACAACACGAGTCTACTGATGTTGATAAATTAAATGACTTGAATAGCTCAGTGTCTCAAATAGAGTTGAAAGGATTAATATCAAAGTCAGTAAGCAGAGAGAAGCAGGAGAAAGGAATGGCTAACTTGGCACAGTTAGAAGCTCTGTACCAAACTTCTTGGGACAGTCAGTTTGTAAGTAGTGGGGAGGAGTGCTTCCTCATAGACCAGTTCTGTTGCGAAGTAAGGAAAGATGAGCAAGTTGAAAAAGAAAATACTTACACCAGTTATTTGGACAAATTTTTTAGTAAGAAAGAAGATGCTGAAATGCTAGAACCTGAGCCAGTAGAAGAGGGGAAGCTTGGGGAGAAGGAAAGAGAAGAGAGCTTTCTCAGTAACAGTGGAGAACTCCTCTTCAACAAGCAGCTTGAGGCTATAGGTATTCCTCAGTTTCACAGCCCCGTTGGTTCGCCACTGAAATCGATACAGGCCACATTAACGCCTTCTGCTATGAAATCATCTCCCCAAATTCCCCACAAGACGTACAGCAGCATTCTGAAACATCTAAATTAAAACACTCAGCAGACATTTCTTTTATATTCATGAGATGTGTTTGTCTTTTTTTATTACTAGTGTAAGTAATTTTTTTACTTGAATCAGATGGTGTAATTTTGGTATGGATTTCATTAGTTTTCTGTTTACCATTGTTTTTACAATCCAGAATTACTTTCTATACATGAGTTACTTTTGTTTTTAAACTGGCATGTCGTTTGCACACAAAATTAAAGAATAGAGCAAAATAATGCAAAATGCAGGAGGTAACAAAAAATGCACTAAACCGAGAAAAAAAAGAAAAAAAACATTCTCTCAGTAAAACAGTGTCCATGTTTTGCAGGAAAAGAACCTTGCCTTGAAACTTACACAGTGAGACTGTACATAACTGCATGAAAATATCTATTTTCCCAAAATGTTTTTTTCATTCATGCGTATCTTAGAGTTTTTCATACTGTACACATTTCTTAGACACATGATACCAGCAGCAACTGAAATGAATGCAGAATTTGGTACGCATGTGTTATCTACCTCAAGGTAACAGCAGTATGTGGCAAAACATTAACCACCCATAGTGCTTCTCATTATGCACTTCTATTTAGCCAGCATTATTGTAGTAGCTATTCTTATTGAAAATCATTCAATATTTATAAATGTTCTGGTATGCATTCTTTATAGTGAAGTGTTAATATGCAGCACTTTTATTTATTTTAGCAAATAAGTATATTTCTGTAATTATAGAAAGTCAACTTAATTTTTGAGTTACTTTTCAGATAAAAGTTTTTGTTTAGCACTATGGTTTTATTGCCTACATAGCTGGATATATATTAACATCGGCTTATTCTGAGGCTATCAATACATTTTTTTATTTTTATTTTTTAGTTTTCATTTCAAGTAAAGCACTCACTGTGTATAGGAATTTGTAATTGGAGGTGCTTGATCTCTACAAAAGAAATTAGGAATTGCTTTATTATCAAACGCTCCTAGAAGTCTTAATTGTGTTCATTTTATAAAAATTTTGTAATGTTAGTTGTGTGCATGGAAATAATTAAGGTACAACATTACTGTAGGTTCAAGTTCTATATGGTGAGACATTTTGTTTTTACTGTATGTTTTTACTGAATGATTCCTGTCCCGCTCCCAACCCCCCTCAAAAGCAAGCATGAATAAAATTAGGTTAAATATAGCATGTAGCATCTCGGTCTTCTGAAAATTTGTTTTACTTTCTGATTTTTTTAAATACTGGATGTATCATTGGCTCCCCTGTTTAAAACGAAAAACAAATAAAAACATGGCCAGCAAAAATTACTGTTTTTTAATGCTTTGTACAATGAAAGGTAAAGCAGCTGTAACACAGCTGGCCTGCTTGCCTGCACTCCCTTGTTCCAGGTGTGCAAGGAAGCATGAGAAACTGTCTTGCAGTCTGCCCTGGAAGCACCGCTCCTGGGGGTGCAGTGCCCGGGGTACCACCTGGGGGTGCAGATGCCAGCAGTACCCTTCTCTCCCGGTGCCTATGGCCTGGATTTACAGAAATCTTGTGTAATGGTATGGCTGTGAAAGCATAAGTGTACGGTAGTGTCTATAACAATTTTTGATGAAAAATACAGTTGACTTCCAGAGTATTAAGTGAGCGTCACTTTTAGGCAGAATAGTGTTAAAGTGGAAAAGCTGCTGCGAGCGCCCGTCAGCACCTTCGTGCTGCTGGCAACCTGGAGTGAAGGTAATCATGCAGGTTGCTCAGCCAAGAGCCTCTGGAGCATTTTCCCAAGGAGATTTCAGGAGCAGGACCAGGTAACTCCTATGGGATGTTTTAAAATGTGTGGATCAGGTCTCTGTTGCAGCAAGTCCTAAGAAGAGTCTGTTTCTCTTCCAGTTCCTCTCGTCAGAACCAGTCCTGAGGGAGCTCATTAGCTGTGCAATAAAGCTACATCTTTTAGCAAACTCCTACAACTTTTTCCATGACAGTGACTTAGTTCCTCCAAATTTTTCCACCCCTCCTCCCCACTCTTGTCAAGTGGCACAGCTGCAACTTGTGCAACCAAGGAGCTGCCCCTCCAGTGTGGCAGGAGATGCTCACCTGGGGAGAGGGGGGACAGCCTATGTCCTCGGGTTGGTGTGCGAGTGTGAGGGGGCCACGTCAACTTCTGCATAGGGGGCTGTATGGGGAGGAGATGGCTGGTCCCCCTCTCCTAGGTGAGGGACTGTTTTGGAGTGGTGTGGTAGGTTTTTTCCTGAGATTGGATGAAAGCAGTGGGTGGGAAGTGCTTAGTAACTGGAAACAAAATTCAGCTTCAAAACATCATGTGTAAATTAAGAAGGTTTTTTTTATTCTCCTTTAAGAACACCACTCAAACTCTACAGTACTTTAGAAGCCTGTAGTGGTAGAAAGGGAACATTTACACTCGAAAAGGAAGGGGAGAGTAGAGTGTTGAGCCAAAATGCAGTACAGAGCTTCACTGCCTTTGCTCCCCCAGCACAAATAGGAGTCAATGCTGTACAGGCACTGCTGGCTGCTTTGGTGAAAACCCTGCTCTCAAACAGGCTCCATCCACGGATCATGGGCGGGTACAGCTAGGCAGTCTGGCTTATGAAGTAGCATTCCCTCTGTGGAGACAATTAAAGGAAGTCAAAGTGCTTCATAAGGACCAGGCAAAGTGAAATCTGCTGCCAGAAAGGTGAAGGTACTCCTGAGTGTGGCATTGGGTTCCCCCATGGCAAACCACAGGAGCCCTGTGCTGGAAGA